CAGCTGTAAACAGACTGAGGGCAATGCAAAGTTAACTATTGCTCTGATAAACAATTTGCTCAAATATTGATATTTCAATAACTATTTAAAAGCCAAACAAAAAAAAGGACCACTGTCAATCAACAGGGTGTAGGGGGCGGGTTCGGAGAGAAGCAGTGCCGTGAGTGGCTCTGTCCATTGCGATGCCGTGACGTGATTGGCTTAGGTCCAATCTAACAATGGAAATGGAACATCATGATTGGATGATAGATTGGAGATTGGCTAACCCTCAAAAGAATGTGCAAGGACCTCTGCCGATGAAGGAAGAAAATAAAAAGCTTACGGCACCGGGTATTCCCAGGCGGTCTCCCATCCAAGTACTGACCCGGCCCGACCCTGCTTAGCTTCCGAGATCAGACGAGATCAGGTGTGTTTTTTTTTTTTTTTTTTTTATCTTTTATTATAAAAGTTTGCACTTTACATTCAAATCACATCACTGATCCCCAAAAAAAGAAAGGACCCCAATGCTTTAAACTAATATCCAAACAAAAACCACCACAACATTTCCATCAAAACAAAATTTCATACAAATCACTGTAAACACTCTTTCTCAAAATAAACAAAAACAAAACACCATACCATCATTCATCAAAATGATATGTTAGCTTATCATCATCTACTTGAATTAAATCACTTCCTTCCACAAACTCCACCACAAAAACATCTTTCCCTTTATGTAATAATAACATTCCCAAATCCCTCTTAATATTCCTCTTCATAATATTCCACACTTTGTCAATTCTTCCTTCATAATGGGCGGCATTTCTCCTTATCTTCACCGCATATCTAGCCTGACTTAGACACATATTCAACAAACCAACATTATATCCATCCATTTTCCCATTCATACCAAATAGCCACAGCTCCTTCCATTCCAAACATTTTAACACCCTTATATCCCAACATCTGCATATCATTTCTTTCAATTTCCCAAAAAAACCCTTTCATTCTCTACACTCAAAAAACTCATGCATACAATTCTCCACTTCCACTCTACATACATCACATTCTCTCCTCACCTCTTTGTCAAACATACTTATTATCAAATTATTAAAAACCCTATTATGTCTTAAAAGAAAATCAAACTGCTCACATTCTATACTATTACCTTTCACTCTCAGATTCAACCATATCTTTCTCACATCCATTCCACCCACCACTTTTTCCCACACTTTCTCCGATGCTGGTCTCCTCACACTTCCCAACCCAAACATTTTATAAATTCCTTTTGCACTCAAATCCTCCAGTTTCATCCCTTCACCCACATACAACACCACATCACCTTCCACACTCCCCACATTTTCACTTTCAATCATTCTCCTCCACTCCCCCGGCATTCCTTCCTTTATACTCTCTAATAAAGTCTCTGCTGTCCCTTTCCCCATTAACAAATCCCCCCCTCTCACCTCATCAATAATCACCTGTGCCCTCATAAAACCCGGAACATATTCATATACTAAATCCCTTACAACCCTAAATCCCGCCCTCCACATTGGCAAATTGAACATTACCTTCCCTTCCTTCATTATAATTTTATTTTGAAATATCGGCTGCACCCATACCTGTTTCCTGTTCACACAATCATACCTAACATTCACCAAAAACTCTCCCCATGCACTCATCACTTCCCTTTGAAAATCACTCATCCCACTCATCCACCCTTTCTTGAAACACATTCCACTATCCCCACACCCCCCACCTTTACTATCCCTCAAAAACACTTTCCACACATGATCATCTTTTTTATTTAAATATTTGATCATTGTTTTGACCCTCATTGTTTTTAACTTCCTCTCTATATTTATTAACTTCAACCCCCCATCCTTATACTCATTTTCTAACACCTCCCTTGTTATCCTTACTCCCCTCCCCATCCCAGATAAATTCACTTACTATTTTATTTATTTCTCTAACTATCCTCTCAGGCACATCTAACACATTCATAATATAAACTAACTTACTCATAATTAACCCATTTACCACCATAACCTTGCCTCTCAATTTCAATTTCCTCAGTTTCCAAAACCTCAACGTTTTCCTAATGCTTCCCAAAACACCCTCATATTGCACATCCCTCCCCTCTCTATCTTTCAAACCCAAATTAATACCCAAAACCCTAAAATAATCCTTATTTTCCCTCAACTTCACCTCTGCTCTCCCTACACTATACCTGTCCCTAACACCATAAACTCTGACTTTTCTATATTAATTTTTGCCCCTGATGCCCTTCCATACACTTCTACACTCTCAAATACCCCTTTCACACTCTCCATATCCCTAACCGTGATTGTTGTGTCATCCGCATACTGGTAAACTACACTCACCCCCCCCCCCTGGCACCTCCACCCCCTTCACTTTCTCATTTTTTTTCAGCAATGTCGCAAACGGCTCTGCTGACAAAGCATAAAGCATTGCCGAGAGAGGGCACCCCTGCCGGACTGACCTCCCTAACTTAAAAACATTAGTGACAATTCCATTAACCTTAACACAACTCACCGCCTTCCTATAAATCCTCCTAATCCACCCAATAAAACGCCTCCCAAACCCCGCTTTCTCTAAAACCCTAAATAAATAATCGTGATTTACCCTATCAAAAGCCTTATTTAAATCCAAACTAATCAACACCCCACCTATCCCCCCCTTCATATAATTAATAATATCCCTTATACTACAAATAGTGTCACTAATATCTCTCCCCGGTATGCTATAAGCTTGTGTGCTCCCCACGACTACACCAATTACCCTCTTCAACCTGTTAGACAACACCCGTGCTAAAATCTTATAATCATTATTTAACATACTCAAAGGTCTATAGTTCCCTAGCTTATCCCTACTCCCCTTCTTAAACAAAATACTAATCACCCCTGTTGACAAACCGTCCGGCAGTTCGTCCCTCTCTTCAAAGCATTTGAAAAGCTTTTGCAATATCGGCACTAATATGCCCTTAAACTCCACATAAAATTCAGCAGTTAGACCGTCTAACCCAGGGCTTTTATTCCTCCCCATGCCGTCAATTGCTGCTTCTATCTCCTCCTTTGTTATTTCTCCTTCACATAAATCCTTTCCCTCTTCAGTCAACACCGCTTCCATGCTATCCAGTGCCTTCTCTAGACACTCATTATCAATCCCCTCCTCCTTAAATAAATCCCTATAAAATTCTTCCACCCTTTTCACTATCCCCACTAAATCTGATATCACCTCTCCCCCTTTACCCTCTATCTGTTTAATATAATTATTCCCCTGTTTCCTTTTTTCCATCCCCAAAAAAAAACCTGTGCACTTCTCCCCTTCTACCAAATATCTAGCCCTACTCCTAACTATCGCTCCCATACATTTCTCCCTTTCTATTACCCCCAACTCATCCTTTAAACTATTATATACCCCTAAATCTCTCCCTATCTCTTCCTCTATCCTTTCTGTCTCTCTAACCAGTTCCTCCTTCAACTTTTCCTCCCTCTCTCTCCCTTTTTTGTTCCTCCTACAACTAAACTTAATACTCATTTTCTTAATCTTTTCTTTCAAATCCTCCCACCACTCCCCCTCATCCTCTCCATCCATACTTCCTTGCTTATTTATCCATTCATACACCATACCTTTATAACTCTCATCCTTTAACAACATTGCATTCAAACACCACACCCCTCCCCCTACACCCATCATCCAAACTAAACCTAAGAATAACATGATCACTTAAACTATTTATCCCATGCTTGAACTCCCCAATTTGACTACCCATACTCCCCTTACATAACACCAAATCTATCCTACTTTGCTTCAATACACCTCCCACCACCTGTTTCCTTGTGAACACCCTTTCATCCATGTTTCTCTCCCTCCACAAATCCCTTAACCCATTCTCCCCCATCATCTTTTCAAGCGCACGTCTTGAAGCATCATTTTTAAACCGCATCCCCCCAGCCACATCATTCTTTCCACACCACACATTGAAATCACCCACCACCATACAATTTCCCCCACATTTCCCATCCAGACCTTCAAAAAACACCTTCCTTTCCTTCTCCTCATTCGGTGCATGTACATTAATTAATTTAAACATTTCCCCCATATAATCAAACTCTACAACAATCATTCTCCCCTCACCATCATCATCAACCTTCCTCACATTCTCTACTACCCCAGTTTTAATTAAAATCGCAACCCCTCTAGCATTCAAACCCCCCATTATTCACATAAACATCACCCATCCAACCCTTCTTCACATCATCCACACACCTTTCATCCCAATGTGTCTCTTGTAGGCATATAATGTCAGTTGCACATAGCAATAAAGCTCGGTCCCTTCTGTCCTTTGTTTTCAGTCCTCTTCCTTTAAAGGAGCAGAAAGTCACCATAGCATATACATAAAGGAGGAGAAATAACAAATTAAACTCTATTTCTTATTTTTTCCCTTTTTTTTCTCATTTTTTTTCATATTTCTCGCCCGTCCCCTCTGAGAATGAGAGCGCATCTCCATCCTATTGGGGCTCCTGTCCCTTCTCATTCCTCCCCTCCCGCAACTTCAAACTTTGTAGAGTACGGGAGTGAGTGTACATCCCCGCTGAACACCACCCTCAAGTGTCTGGTACCATCTGCAATTTTAGTCCCCGGTACACATCGCCTTATTATTCTCGAGGCAGGCTTCACACCCCAGTTGTTCAGTTTCAGTAGGATAGCATCATCCTCAATATAAACTGGCAGGTTCATAAAGGAAACAGTGACCTCGTTTCGTAGCAGCTCCCTTGCACTCACCAGTACACCCCTGACCCTCACCCCCTCCAAAAGACTCTCCATTCCCTCCCTCGCTTTCATAGTAATCTCGTATTCCCTCCCCCCCTTCTCCCTGCACCCCAAAATTACCCCACACATCTTTTGTATCCCCACCAACATGTCCATCACCGTCAGATTTTTGACTCCACCTTCCACAGAAACTTTCACAGTTAGCTCTTGCAAATATAGCTCACCCGCCGATATCCTCCTCTTCCTTACTTTCTCTTCTTCTTCCTTTTGTCCTTTCTTGCTCCATCAGTGTTTCCCTCATCACCCCCATATATTCCGACATCTCCATCAGTGTTTCCTCCGTCAGCCCCACCACCCCCATGTACTCCACCAGCTCCAACAATGATTCCCTTCTTCTCCCCCGTGTCACCTCTTCCCGTCCTCTCCTCACCAGCCGTCACCCCACCGCTGCTACCTCCGTCTCCTTTCGTGGCTTCTTCCTTCTCCTCCGTGCAGTGCTTTATCTTCCTATCAGTTTTCCTCCCTGCTGACGCTTCTTCTCCTCCGTCATCTTCTCTGCTACTCATTTTAGCTATCGTAGCTGCATCAGTTGCACCACCGGAGACAGCCAGCCCCGCCCCCTCCTTACTCTTGGGATCTTCTTCTCTTTTGTTTTTAGCAAATTCCGTCTCCGTCAGTGTCTTCCTCGTCACATTCTCTCTTGAATCACCTCCTTTCCCCCCGTCCAACTCCTCTTTTTCAGTATTCATCTTTGCTTTGTCGTTCCCGCTCCTCTCGTTAGCTTCCAACACAGCTGTGCCGTGATCAGCGGGACCCGCCACCTCTTTTGTCCACAAACTCTTTCCACTTGCAACTTTTACAACTTTTTCCTCCACAGTTATCTTCATCTTCTCTTTGCTACCTTCATTTCTATTTTCCACCGCCGATTTAGTGTTTTCCACCGCCGTTTTGTTCTCCGTTTCTATTTCCGCATTCCGGCTGCGTGACGCCCGCATTCCAGAATTCACGTTGCTCCTCTTCCGTATATCTTCGATTTCAGACCTCGTATTCTCTCGGGAATGGTCCCCCCCGACAGCTATGCTGTTTGGGGGGGTCTGCAGCACAAAATCCTCCGCGAAATCCTTCGCTAATTCACTTTTTCACTCGGTTCTCCACCAAACATTTCTCTCCCGCTCCCACACATGCGACACCGGGCGTGTTCAGGGTGGTATGGCCGTAAACGAAAATTGAACCGGCACACATGCTATTTATAGCAGCTTCATCACCGCTGATAACGCAGCCTTCTTCTACAGCTAAAATACAATCTATCCTCTTTTACTCAAGCTTGGAGCCTAAACTACGGGCAAGAGAAAGCGAGGAGAAAGATTTGAAATGTGATGATTTGAAGTCCAGCCAAGTTTTATTAAAGTACAACCAAAATCAATAAACGGAGCAAAACTGCCATGGAAACGGATTAAAAGTCGTTAGCTTAGTTCCCCCTTTCAGAACGGACCATGGTTTGGGCAGATCTTACTTAAATGGCAGCCGATTCCAGCACTTTGCAAAAAAAAGCTTGAATTGAACTTTCAGCCAGACACCAAACAAGCATTCACACCAAGACTGAGACGCTCTATTTTATATGAATGCATTGTTGATAAAAGTCATGATTCAAGAGGTAATGGGCAACTTTCAGTTTTTTGCAAACATGGGGCTCCAAACAGGTGATTGACAGTAGTAAAAGAGCATAGATTGTACTTTAGCTGGAGCTGAGAAGGTTGAGGGTTATCAGCGGCGTTTGAGCAGCCATAAATAGCATGTGTGCCGGTTGAATTTTCGTTTACGGCCATACCACCCTGAACACGCCCGATCTCGTCCGATCTCGGAAGCTAAGCAGGGTCGGGCCGGGTCAGTACTTGGATGGGAGACCGCCTGGGAATACCCGGTGCCGTAAGCTTTTACTTTATTCCTTGGTCAGCAGACGGCGCTGCCCTTTCAATTGACACAGCTGTAAACAGACTGAGGGCAATGCAAAGTTAACTATTGCTCTGATAAACAATTTGCTCAAATATTGATATTTTAATAACTATTTAAAAGCCAAACAAAAAAAAGGACCACTGTCAATCAACAGGGCGTAGGGGGCGGGTTCGGAGAGAAGCAGTGCCGTGAGTGGCTCTGTCCATTGCGATACCGTGACGTGATTGGCTTAGGTCCAATCTCACAATGGAAATGGAATATCACGATTGGATGATAGATTGGAGATTGGCTAACCCTCAAAAGAATGTGCAGGGACCTCTGCCGATGAAGGAAGAAAATAAAAAGCTTACGGCACCGGGTATTCCCAGGCGGTCTCCCATCCAAGTACTGACCCGGCCCGACCCTGCTTAGCTTCCGAGATCGGACGAGATCGGGCGTGTTCAGGGTGGTATGGCCGTAAACGAAAATTGAACCTAGCACACATGCTATTTATAGCAGCTTCATCACCGCTGATAACGCAGCCTTCTTCTACAGCTAAAATACAATCTATCCTCTTTTACTCAAGCTTGGAGCCTAAACTACGGGCAAGAGAAAGCGAGGAGAAAGATTTGAAATGTGATGATTTGAAGTCCAGCCAAGTTTTATTAAAGTACAACCAAAATCAATAAACGGAGCAAAACTGCCATGGAAACGGATTAAAAGTCGTTAGCTTAGTTCCCCCTTTCAGAACGGACCATGGTTTGGGCAGATCTTACTTAAATGGCAGCCGATTCCAGCACTTTGCAAAAAAAAGCTTGAATTGAACTTTCAGCCAGACACCAAACAAGCATTCACACCAAGACTGAGACGCTCTATTTTATATGAATGCATTGTTGATAAAAGTCATGATTCAAGAGGTAATGGGCAACTTTCAGTTTTTTGCAAACATGGGGCTCCAAACAGGTGATTGACAGTAGTAAAAGAGCATCGATTGTACTTTAGCTGGAGCTGAGAAGGTTGAGGGTTATCAGCGGCGTTTGAGCAGCCATAAATAGCATGTGTGCCGGTTCAATTTTCGTTTACGGCCATACCACCCTGAACACGCCCGATCTCGTCCGATCTCGGAAGCTAAGCAGGGTCGGGCCGGGTCAGTACTTGGATGGGAGACCGCCTGGGAATACCCGGTGCCGTAAGCTTTTACTTTATTCCTTGGTCAGCAGACGGCGCTGCCCTTTCAATTGAATACAGCTGTAAACAGACTGAGGGCAATGCAAAGTTAACTATTGCTCTGATAAACAATTTGCTCAAATATTGATATTTTAATAACTATTTAAAAGCCAAACAAAAAAAAGGACCACTGTCAATCAACAGGGCGTAGGGGGCGGGTTCGGAGAGAAGCAGTGCCGTGAGTGGCTCTGTCCATTGCGATGCTGCCCTTTCAATTGACACAGCTGTAAACAGACTGAGGGCAATGCAAAGTTAACTATTGCTCTGATAAACAATTTGCTCAAATATTGATATTTTAATAACTATTTAAAAGCCAAACAAAAAAAAGGACCACTGTCAATCAACAGGGCGTAGGGGGCGGGTTCGGAGAGAAGCAGTGCCGTGAGTGGCTCTGTCCATTGCGATACCGTGACGTGATTGGCTTAGGTCCAATCTCACAATGGAAATGGAATATCACGATTGGATGATAGATTGGAGATTGGCTAACCCTCAAAAGAATGTGCAGGGACCTCTGCCGATGAAGGAAGAAAATAAAAAGCTTACGGCACCGGGTATTCCCAGGCGGTCTCCCATCCAAGTACTGACCCGGCCCGACCCTGCTTAGCTTCCGAGATCGGACGAGATCGGGCGTGTTCAGGGTGGTATGGCCGTAAACGAAAATTGAACTGGCACACATGCTATTTATAGCAGCTTCATCACCGCTGATAACGCAGCCTTCTTCTACAGCTAAAATACAATCTATCCTCTTTTACTCAAGCTTGGAGCCTAAACTACGGGCAAGAGAAAGCGAGGAGAAAGATTTGAAATGTGATGATTTGAAGTCCAGCCAAGTTTTATTAAAGTACAACCAAAATCAATAAACGGAGCAAAACTGCCATGGAAACGGATTAAAAGTCGTTAGCTTAGTTCCCCCTTTCAGAACGGACCATGGTTTGGGCAGATCTTACTTAAATGGCAGCCGATTCCAGCACTTTGCAAAAAAAAAGCTTGAATTGAACTTTCAGCCAGACACCAAACAAGCATTCACACCAAGACTGAGACGCTCTATTTTATATGAATGCATTGTTGATAAAAGTCATGATTCAAGAGGTAATGGGCAACTTTCAGTTTTTTGCAAACATGGGGCTCCAAACAGGTGATTGACAGTAGTAAAAGAGCATAGATTGTACTTTAGCTGGAGCTGAGAAGGTTGAGGGTTATCAGCGGCGTTTGAGCAGCCATAAATAGCATGTGTGCCGGTTGAATTTTCGTTTACGGCCATACCACCCTGAACACGCCCGATCTCGTCCGATCTCGGAAGCTAAGCAGGGTCGGGCCGGGTCAGTACTTGGATGGGAGACCGCCTGGGAATACCCGGTGCCGTAAGCTTTTACTTTATTCCTTGGTCAGCAGACGGCGCTGCCCTTTCAATTGATACAGCTGTAAACAGACTGAGGGCAATGCAAAGTTAACTATTGCTCTGATAAACAATTTGCTCAAATATTGATATTTTAATAACTATTTAAAAGCCAAACAAAAAAAAGGACCACTGTCAATCAACAGGGCGTAGGGGGCGGGTTCGGAGAGAAGCAGTGCCGTGAGTGGCTCTGTCCATTGCGATACCGTGACGTGATTGGCTTAGGTCCAATCTCACAATGGAAATGGAATATCACGATTGGATGATAGATTGGAGATTGGCTAACCCTCAAAAGAATGTGCAGGGACCTCTGCCGATGAAGGAAGAAAATAAAAAGCTTACGGCACCGGGTATTCCCAGGCGGTCTCCCATCCAAGTACTGACCCGGCCCGACCCTGCTTAGCTTCCGAGATCGGACGAGATCGGGCGTGTTCAGGGTGGTATGGCCGTAAACGAAAATTGAACTGGCACACATGCTATTTATAGCAGCTTCATCACCGCTGATAACGCAGCCTTCTTCTACAGCTAAAATACAATCTATCCTCTTTTACTCAAGCTTGGAGCCTAAACTACGGGCAAGAGAAAGCGAGGAGAAAGATTTGAAATGTGATGATTTGAAGTCCAGCCAAGTTTTATTAAAGTACAACCAAAATCAATAAACGGAGCAAAACTGCCATGGAAACGGATTAAAAGTCGTTAGCTTAGTTCCCCCTTTCAGAACGGACCATGGTTTGGGCAGATCTTACTTAAATGGCAGCCGATTCCAGCACTTTGCAAAAAAAAGCTTGAATTGAACTTTCAGCCAGACACCAAACAAGCATTCACACCAAGACTGAGACGCTCTATTTTATATGAATGCATTGTTGATAAAAGTCATGATTCAAGAGGTAATGGGCAACTTTCAGTTTTTTGCAAACATGGGGCTCCAAACAGGTGATTGACAGTAGTAAAAGAGCATAGATTGTACTTTAGCTGGAGCTGAGAAGGTTGAGGGTTATCAGCGACGTTTGAGCAGCCATAAATAGCATGTGTGCCGGTTCAATTTTCGTTTACGGCCATACCACCCTGAACACGCCCGATCTCGTCCGATCTCGGAAGCTAAGCAGGGTCGGGCCGGGTCAGTACTTGGATGGGAGACCGCCTGGGAATACCCGGTGCCGTAAGCTTTTACTTTATTCCTTGGTCAGCAGACGGCGCTGCCCTTTCAATTGACACAGCTGTAAACAGACTGAGGGCAATGCAAAGTTAACTATTGCTCTGATAAACAATTTGCTCAAATATTGATATTTTAATAACTATTTAAAAGCCAAACAAAAAAAAGGACCACTGTCAATCAACAGGGCGTAGGGGGCGGGTTCGGAGAGAAGCAGTGCCGTGAGTGGCTCTGTCCATTGCGATGCTGCCCTTTCAATTGACACAGCTGTAAACAGACTGAGGGCAATGCAAAGTTAACTATTGCTCTGATAAACAATTTGCTCAAATATTGATATTTTAATAACTATTTAAAAGCCAAACAAAATAAACAAAAAAAGGACCACTGTCAATCAACAGGGCGTAGGGGGCGGGTTCGGAGAGAAGCAGTGCCGTGAGTGGCTCTGTCCATTGCGATACCGTGACGTGATTGGCTTAGGTCCAATCTCACAATGGAAATGGAATATCACGATTGGATGATAGATTG